GTGATGGAGGTGAGGATTGGCATGCGGCCCGTGCTGGTGCTGAGTGGGCTGGAGACCATCAAGCAAGCCCTGGTGAAGCAAGGAGAGGACTTCCAGGGGCGCCCCGACCTCCAGAGCTTCCAGTACATTTCGAATGGGCAGAGCCTGGCCTTCAGCCCCGACTCTGGGGAGGTGTGGAAAGCCCGCAGGAAGCTGGCCCAGAATGCCCTGAAGACCTTCTCCATTGCCCCCAGCCCCACGTCCTCCTCCACCTGCCTGCTGGAGGAGCACGTCTCCAAGGAGGCTGAGTACCTGGTCACCAAGTTCCTGCAGCTGATGGAGGAGGAGAAGAGCTTTGACCTTAACCAGTACCTGGTGGTCTCGGTGGCCAATGTCATCTGTGCCATGTGCTTTGGCAAGCGCTACGAGCACGATGACCAGGAGCTGCTCAGCGTGGTGAACCTAGGCAATGAATTTGGGGATGTGGCTGGTGCTGGCCACCCTGCTGACTTCATCCCCCTGCTCCGGTACCTTCCCAGCCGCACCATGGAGCTCTTTAAGGACATCAACAGGAGATTCAATGCCTTTGTGCAAAAAATTGTGCAGGAGCATTACACCAGCTTTGATAAGGTAAGAGCTTGGGTGCCCTTTGATGTGGGTGGAGATGCTTACAACTGTCAGAGATGCTGCCTGGCAAGGTGGGGAAGAGGGTACACCCTCATCCTCCCACCTTGCCCAGGAAAGCTCCTTGGAGCACTCCGATCTGCTCTCTGGGAGCCAGCACTAGTTGGGGGATGTTTCCCCATCCCTGTGTGTCTGTGATGTTCCTGACCCACCAGCTCTTCCCCAGGAGCACATCCGGGACATCACGGACTCGCTGATTGAGCACTGCCAGGAGAAGAGTGTTGGGGAGGATACCCATGTTCAGCTCTCCAATGAGAAGATAATTCACATTGTCAATGACCTCTTTGGGGCAGGTGAGAATGTTTCTGAGAGTAAAACCATGATGATGAAGGCAGAAGCGGGAGGTGAAGCTGTTGGGGTGAGACCTTGGCCACGTTTGGGTGTGTGGAGCTGCTGTTGATCTCTTGGGTGCATTCCTTAGCAGTGGCCAGAGCTTTTCAGTGACAGCTGATGGGGAAATCACTCTATGGCAAACATCTGGAGTGGTGGGATCTGTAACTCCCACTCATCTGTCCTCTTCTGGTAACTAAATGCCTTTTCCATGTCCATCCAGGCTTTGACACTGTGTCAACTGCCTTATCCTGGAGCCTCATGTATGTTGCCTTGTACCCCAACATCCAGAAGAAGATCCAGGAAGAACTAGGTGAGTCCACTAACCACCTTTCTCTGGGTCCAAAACCTCTCTGCTCAGCACTGACCTTAACCCTCTTCCTCTACTCCACCTCCCACAGACCAGACCATCGGCCGTGAGAGGAGACCGCGGCTGTCGGACCGGGGCACGCTGCCCTACACAGAGGCCTTTATGCTGGAGATGTTCAGGCACTCTTCCTTCCTGCCCTTCACCATCCCACACAGGTATGGTCTGGAGTGGCTGACACCTTTGCTGGTTTTTTTTTTTTTTTGGAGGTTCCATTTAGGCAGATAATTGCCTGGGAATTGATTCCTGCTAGGGGGAAATATTCCCGCTTGCTGCCATTCTGGGGTTGAATCCTTTGCTTTGAGGGTAGTTTCACTACAAAATATTTGCTAGCAGGGGGATGGTGGACACCCCTGGCTTTATAATTCCCTCCTACCTTGGGAGAGAACACATCCCAACTCATTGGCATGAGTTGTGAAAGGAAACAGGAATTTTTGTGCTTGAGGAAAGTATGACCAAGACTATTGAATCACCCAAATACAATCTGTGGTATTTTCTAGCCAATCCTAAGAGCAAAAATAGGGTATTGAAGGACTTGCCAGGCTTTGATTTGTCATGAAGCTGTGGGTCTCCTCTAACTTATCTTCCCACCTGTGTTTCCTTCAGCACAACAAAAGCGACGGTGCTGAACGGATACTACATCCCAAAGAACACTTGTGTGTTTATCAACCAGTGGCAAGTGAATCATGATGAGTGAGTATTCCAACCCCCCTGTGTTTATCTGGGCTGCCATGGGTTTGCTTGGTGTTAAGATCACTCTAATCCTTGTGCCAAAAGATGAATGGATCATGAAGGAAAAGGCAGATTGAACTAAAAATCATGTGGATTTGATGCTGAGCCCAGCCTTGGTTCTCCTGGGCGTGGTGCTGGTCCAGGTTCCGCAGCTCCCCAACTCCAGGGCTTACCCAATTTATGTGGTGATGCCCTCGATGCACAGGGTGAGGGCTAGAAGCTCAGGCTGCTGGATAATCAGGAATCAGTAGATCCTCCTGCCAAATAGATCTTGTGATCTGGGTTGATGGCTCTGGATGTGCTCAATAGGAATGGCCTGGTTTCCTCTTTAAGGGAGAAGAATGTCATGACATGACTCTTGGTAAACTCAATAGGCTTCTGTTGCCATTGATGATAACCAGTTTTGGGAATGAAAGGGGGTCTTGAAACCAAAGTCCCATCTTGTCTCTCCACTGCTCCCCAGTAGAGTCCCTCCTGGTGGGAGTAAGCTGATTAAGGCTTGATACAGAAGGTGGTTCGCAGACTGGGTATTTTGGATCAGAAGCTCAAGATATTTGTATCCAAATACCCCAGCAGCACAGAAACCTTCCAGTATTCCTTCTGCTCCTGCTGCTCTGGTGAGCACGAAACAGGAATGCTGTCTTTAGTGCAGAGAGGATTCCCCACATCCAAACAGAAATTCTCAGCTAAGACGCTGTTAAATCCCACCTGGCACCTCCCAGCAGCCAGGCTGGGACAGATTGGGAAGTTTTTCTGGGAGGATTCCCTCTGGAATGGAAACCCTCTGGTCTCCATCCTTCCTTTCTCAAGGGCTGCTGACTGATTTCTGTGCTGAAACTGCAGAACCTCTGGTGGTTGCATGCAGAATTAAATCCATCTCCACTATCTGCACAGGCAAACATAATCTGATCTTGGAACAGAGGTTTCAATAGACTGAGCTGATGGAGTCTGACACAGAGTTGGCATTTTAGATCAGGAATAGAGCTTGCCAAAGGTTTTTTGGATGGTGAAATGAGACAGCACTGCAAAGCTTCTCTCTGCAAGGAGATTTTTTTGATCACTGACCCCATCACAGTGGGTGAAAACTTTCATGATGCCCCAAGGGCTGGAGCCCCTCTGCTCTGGAGCCAGGCTGGGAGAGCTGGAGGTGTTCAGCCTGGAGAAGAGAAGGCTCTGGGGAGATCTTAGAGCCCCTTCCAGTGCCTAAAGGGCCTCCAAGAAAGCTGGAGAGAGACTTTGGACAAGGGCCTGGAGGGACAGGACAAAGGGGAATGGCTTCCCACTGCCAGAGGGCAGGGTTAGATGGGATACTGGGAAGAAGGTCTTCTCTGTGAGGGTGGTGAGGCCCTGGCGCAGGTTGCCCAGAGAAGCTGTGGCTGCCCCATCCCTGGAAGTGTTCAAGGCCAGGTTGGACGGGGCTTGGAGCAACCTGGTCTAGTGGAAGGTGTCCCTGCCTGTGGCAGGGGGGTGGAACAAGACGAGCTTTTAGGTTCCCAAACCATTCTGTGATTCTATGATAAAACAGTATCCTCAAGTGTGTCTCTTTTCTGCCCCAGGAACCTTTGGAAGGAACCCTCAGCCTTCAACCCTGAGCGGTTCCTCAACCCTGCGGGGACGGAGATAAACAGGACAGAGAGTGAAAAGGTGTTGTCTTTTGGCCTGGGGAAGAGGCGATGCATTGGAGAGACCATCGGCCGCTGGGAGATCTTCCTCTTCCTGACCACCCTGCTGCAGCAGCTGGAGTTCAGCCTCCGCCCCGGGGAGGAGGTGGACGTCACCCCTCAGTACGGACTGACCATGAAGTACAAGAAGTGCGAATGCTTCCAGATCAAGCAGCGTTTTCCCATGAAAAGCTCTCCATAAGCCACCAGAAGAAGGAAAGCCAGCCCTCAGCGTCAGACAGCCTGCTTTTGCTAAAGGCACAGCCCCTTGTTGTGTTGCTTCGCTGGAGGCTTGTTCCTCTCGTGGGGATGGGAGCAGGGTGGGACAAAGCCGGCTTTGTCGGGCTCTTCGCAGCGCCTGGAGCCAGCTCCATCACCCTTTCCCGCATGGATGTTCACCAGAGGTCCAGCACTCACGCCTCTTGGAGAGATCCAGGGGGATTGCAGCCCTGTGGTGGGGAGGAGGATGCTTGGGGGTGGGAGAAGCAGGGTGGGATGTTGGTGGGGTGTCCTCTGCCCTGAGCTGGAGCTGCGATGGACAACTCCCTTCATCCAAATATAAATAAACCTCAGAGAAACCTGACCAGCCTTATCTCACAGGGGGAAAGCCTGTTTTCCAAAGCCTTCAGCTCTTTGTGCCAATGGGAATGGGTGCTTCCCGCTGCTCCAGGTGCCTTCTGAAGGGTTCTCAAGGCTGCACCAGAACCCATTTGAAGAGGACCTGTCCTGTGTGCACCCACCCACCTAAATTCCTTGAATGTTAACTCATGGAGTGAATTCCTGAGTGTTTCTACCAATCCTTGGTGGCAGACTACTAGGAAAAATAAATATGTCCATAAGCAATGCTGCTCATAAATTGAGATATTAACTGAACTCCTAACACAAAGCCTGGAAAATATCAAGGGACTGGGAAACAGGGACAGGAAGGACAGAGGAAGAGTAGGACACTTCTGGCTTTCAGACTAACTCTGTATTTGCTGCTTTTTTTAATTAATAGGGTTTTTTCTTATCAAGAAATAGATTTCTATATCCAGACTAATTAGAGGAACAAGGATTTGAGGACTGCAGAAGGTGCCTTATGCTGCATTCCACTTTAGCCAGTGGGAAGGTGAAGCCTTATGGCAAACAGAGCAGCAATTCCTGCTTGTTTGTACTTGTATGGAATGCAGCTGTGTGCTGTGATAGAAACCACACAATATTTCTAACCCAATAAATGCTTATCTGAAAGTTTCTTAAGTTTCTTGCTGGTCTTATTCCACTGGGAAATGATTTTTAGGGCGAAAAAACACCCCACACCTCTCTGTCATCCTTAAAAATCTGACTAGATGTTTTGCATCAGGTTTTTTTCCTATGGGACATGAGTGGGCTGCACACCAGTGGCATTGGGGGAAGTTTTTAGTCCCCATGGGAGCTGACTCTGGTCCTCCTGCTGTCTAAAGTCTCAGCTGGGATTTGCAGAGAGGTGATGCCAAGCTCTGGATCAGTTCAGGATTTCACTAAAAATCAGGACTAGCCTTTCTAGCCCCGAAAAAAAATGGAATCGATAGGTCAGAACCAGCCTTTCAGGGAGCAATCCACGGAGGGATGTTTCATGCCATCACCTGCTCTGCTTGTCCCCATCTCGGAGCACAATTAAATCTGAAGCTTTGCATAATTTCCCTTAAAAGAAACAAAAAAGGCAATAAACACTAAATTCCCATGCAAATAATGACTACGTGGAAAACTGGGGTCTGTGCATCCCTGAAGTGGCATCCCTGCAGAGATCAGCCCTCCGGGGTTTCCAGCCTTGTTGGACCACAGAATTATTTTTAATTTTGGTGTTGTGGTACGGAAAGCTGCTCTGTAGCAGAGGAGCCTTCCTCCTGTGATCTCGCTCACCTCCGTGTTATTGTTACTGGCTGCTGTCAGAATGATTCTGTTCTTAATTAGTGTCCCCGGCCCAGCCTGTGTTTAGCCACCGGCACACGGATCCAGCACTCCACCCGCTCCTTCCTCCCAGTAATGAGCAAAACAGCCTCCAGCTGTGGAGCGGGGAAAGCTGGTGCTAATGGAGCCGAGGAGAGAGTGGGAGATGAATGTGTCTGTGTCTCTGCTGGTGAGCCAGAGGGAGGGGATGGAGGGAATGGAGGTGTGATGGAAGGGGTGGAGGGGACGAAGATGATGGAGGTGGAATGGAGGTGTGGCAGAGGTGATTCAGGTGTGAGGGAGGGGATGAAGGGGATGGAGATGACGGAGGTGATAGAGGGAATGGAGGGGATGGAGGTGTGATGGAGGGAATGGAAAGGGGACAGAGGGGATGGAGGTGTGATGGAGGGGATGGAAAAATGACAAAGGGGATGGAGGTGTGATGGAGGGAATGGAAAGGGGACAGAGGGGATGGAAATGTGATGGAGGGGATGGAAAAGTGACAGAGGGGATGGAAGTGTGATGGAGGGGATGGAAAGGTGACAGAGGGTATGGAAGTGTGATGAAGGGGATGGAAAGGTGACAGAGGGTATGGAAGTGTGATGAAGGGGATGGAAAGGTGACAGAGGGTATGGAAGTGTGATGAAGGGGATGGAAAGGTGACAGAGGGGATGGAGGTGTGACAGAGGTGATGGAAAACTTTTGGCAGCAGTGATGGAGACACGACAGAGGACATACAGCAGCAGAAGCAACACAGATGTGAAGGGCGTGATGAGGGTGGGACAGCGGACATGTGACGGCTGCGATGGAGCGGTGACAGAGCTCACAGAGGCGACGGAGGTGCGATGGAGGTGGTGGGGACGTGCCGACAGCCATGGAGGGGCGGGGGGATGCGTGACAACGGTGTCAGCGGGGCATGGGGAGGCGGGACGGAGACGGCGGGTGTGTGGCAGAGGCGACAGAGGTGACAGAGGTGGCAGAGGTGGCAAAGGGCTCAGCAGAGCTCGCCCGCGCCGCGGGAGCGCGGGCACTGCGCATGCGCCCGGCGCGGCGGCCCCGCTCCTCTCTATGGTCCCGCCGGCGGCCGGAGCGCCGCGCGAGCGGGGCGGTACCGGAAGTGGCGTCAGGCCGAGCGTCGCCGAGGCGGAGGGGCCGCTGTGAGGCGGGAGCGGCGACGGAGGGTGAGGGGGAACGGGGGGCGGCAGCGGGACGGACACCTCGGCCCGGCACGCCAGGGGGTTCGGCGGGGTCGGGCTGGGGTGGGACGGGACCTTCCGAGAGGGCTGGGCCTCGTGAGGCGCGGCTGTGGTGCCAGGGCCTGGCCGGCCTGCTCGGGCCGTGGTGGGGAGGCTGGGCCGGGGCAGCCAAGGGGGCGGGAGGCCTGCAGGGCGCCTGTGCTCAGCTGTGGGGGCCCCTCTGCTTGTCTGTGGGGGGCCCCGTGTTAGCCTGTGGGGAGCAGGGCTCGTGTTTACTTTTGGGGGGGCCCTTGTGTTTACCTGTGGGGAACCCTTTGTTTACCTGTGGAGAGGGTCCCTGTGTTTACCTATGGGGAACTCTGTGTTTTCCTATGGGGATCAGGGCAGCCCACCCCCATCCAACCCTGGAATAGTTTAGTTTATATTTGCACTCAAACATAGATTTTTTTTTTTTTTTTTGCTAAAAGGAGGGTCTTATTTTTAGAAAGGATTTGTGTAAGGTGATGACGTGTGCTGAACTCTTTCCCTTATTTCCTAAGGGACATTAAAAAAAACAACAAAACAAAACAGGAGAGGAAATGAAATTTTAGTTTTGCTACAGGTTCTCAGGGATGTGTTATCTGTTTTGAGAGTGCTTTTTATCAGCCATCACCTTGGGATGCAGACATTGTCATCATAGGTTAATATAAATACACAGAACAGAAAGGAAAGGAGGCTGGTCCTGATGAATTTATGGCTTAGTGACCAAATTCAGTGTTTTCTGCCCTTTGAAGCATCCCCTGTTTTCAGTCCTATGAAAGTTGGGGGAAGTCCAATTTTTTCATGCATCCAGGGATTTTTGTTTTCCTTGCATCTTTTTCCAAGAAGCTCAGCACAGGAAAGGCTTGAAGAGAATTCAAATGCCTCTCCCAGGAATGTGATTTGTATGTTGATGTTGATCTCCGTGGGTTATCTACCGTGTTTCTTAGAGTAAATATCAAACATATTCTCCCTCTTTGATTACAGCATGAAAGGCAAATCTATACATTTAGGAGCTTGTCATCTCTCTTGCTCTCTGGTGATGATAGTGAGCCTGTCACCTCCCTGTGTTCTGAGGAAATCTCAGATCAAAGGATGTGTTTAGCTGCTTCCAGGTGTGTTGGGGCTGCACATCTGACTAAACAAATTTGATGTTTTTGTCCCTGATTCTGGTGCTGGAAAGCAGAGCAACTTTTTTTTTTTCCTCCCCTCTCATTTATTTAATTGTGGCAGTGACATTAATAATCCAGGCTCTGCAGAGCATGGAGACTTTTGTCCTGGACTCCAGTGTTTGGGATTTTCCCTCCTTTTGTGTCTCTCTGTTCCCTTAAAGGTTTTGGTTTTCACTTGCACGTGCAGAGATGAATTATCTCCCTGTGATTGTTCATACAAGGTGTTCTGCCCCGGTGTTCATATGCCAAAATTTTAAACAGGGAAGTGAAGATAAATTCCCTTTTTGAACTCACAGGGAGAATGTCCACAGGCAGGACTAAATACTCTTGGAAGCTGTAAATCCTGAAATCAGTTAGTCAAACATCTGTGTTATCGTCACAAAGCCCCTCCAGGGATCTTCCCTTTCCCTGGGATCGTTGGTGTCCATAGGGATGCAAAGGCAGGAAAAGCTGGCAGAGCCAGAGTCTGGGTGGGAGCCGGGGTTACGGGCCGGGGGATGAGGCTGATGCTAACTCAGGTTGTCACTTTTCTGCCTCTTCTTACAGGCTGGTCTGTGTCTCTTTACAGCAGCTGTGTGCCAGAAATATGGCTACAGACTGGCTTGGGAGCATTGTGTCAATTAATTGTGGAGAAAGCTTGGGAGTCTACCAAGGAAGAGTGTCGGCTGTGGATCAGGTCAGCCAGACCATTTCCCTGACACGGCCCTTCCATAACGGGGTCAAATGCCTCGTGCCAGAAGTCACCTTCAGGTTAGTGTCTGTCTCTTTTTTCCCCCTGCCTTTTTCCAGGCAAGGTCTGTTGTGGTTTGGATGTTTTGGTTTTTTTTTTTTTTTTCCACCTAGAAATGACCTCTTTTGCCCTAAATTTCCTTACTGCTACTGAGTGCCTCTCAGGTTTGTGTTAGTTTGTGTCAGGAGATTAGTTCCTGGCTCACGTTCTAGAGTGGGTAGCTCAGGCTTGGAGGTTATTTGTGGGTGAGACTCTGTGTGTATATATATACCTTTCTTTATTATTGTGTGTGTTCTTTCTGTTGTTAAGGTTTTGGGTAACTGAGGAGGATGACGTGCTTTTCAAAGCTTTACCCTCAGCAGTTCTTTCCCACCGGTTCCTGGTAACACCGTGCTTAAAAGGCATAAATAAGAGTCACTCATCACTGGATGTTTTCCTGTTCCCTGGAATGTTTAGTTAAGACTCTGAGTCACTGACTTTTCAATAAGATTAATTCCACAAAGTCAATACTTTTTTTCCTTGGGTTTTGAAGAGAGAGAGTGGGAGAAAAGCAATAACTACATCCTTCCAGGAGATGTGTGGAAGTCTGTCTATTTTTATGTCCCACTTGGATAAATATTAAGTTAAAACTAGAATTTCTGATGTATTTCTTGCAATCAATGCAAATGGAGATCTTTATAATCACTTCTTTGTTTCCTTTTGGCTTGTGCCCAGTGCTAGATAAGTTTTCTTTATAATATTTTTCTGTGGAAATGGGAAGCACCATCTTTGCCTGAGCATGAACTGCACTAATCTAAGGGTGGCATTCTGTAGAAATGGATTAAAAGTAATAGAAGCCTCAAGGCTGAGAGTAATTAATTATCTAGAAAGTTTTAAATTAATGCAGATTTTTGCAGAGGTCTGGGCCAGTTGCTTCCAGTTTTTGCTTGACTGATTCCTGTTTCAGCTGAGAACAGAACCTTTCAAACAAAATCCAGATGCAGTATAGAAGTATTGAAATGGTTATTTGTTATTTTTGTTTAGTATTTTGATGTCTGTGGAAATATCCTGTGTGTTTCAGTGTTTAAAATCCTTTTATTTCCTTGTTTCTATTGATAATGGCATCAGAACAATCCCACCATACCATGCTGGAGGTTCTTCTTTAGGAGTTTTTTTTGCAAAGTGCTAAATTCATGGAACGTCTGGTTTTCTTGTCCTGTTTTTAGGGCAGGTGACATTACTGAGCTGAAGATTCTGGAGATCCCAGGGCCAGGGGACAGCAGAAAATGTGGGGATCTGCAGCAGATGGATACAGGCATCCCTGGGGTTGGGTGCCAGGTGGGGCCCAGTCAGAACGGCACCGGGAAAGTGTTAAAGAAGCCCATCTCCAGCAGCGCTCCACAGAATATCCCAAGGAGAACAGACATGAAGAATCAGGATATTATCATCTCTCCACAGCAGCAGTGCTCCAAGAGCTACATGGATCGACACCTGGAAGCGCTGACTCAGTCCAAAGGCTTCCGTCGCAGGCACAATTCCTGTGAGTCTCTGTGTTATCCTGCTGCTTTCCTTTTTGCCTGCCTGAGTTACTGCTGCAGCATCTTCCCTTCTTCAGCAAGAGCTTTGCAAACGGGGCTGGGAATTTTCCCTGACTCACCCTGTGTGTTATTCTGAAATAGAGTGTATTTCTACATACATAAAAAATGTCTGATGCTAATTCAAAGATTTTCCCCATTCTTGCTGTCTTTCCTGTTTGAAAATTGCACTGTTTCCAGGCTCTTCTTTTTCTTTAGAAGGAACTGGAAGCAAACTATTAAGCTTTTCTGTTTAAAGCCTGTATACCCATAACCTATTACAACATCACCCTATACATAATTACAAATGTTTTTTTGCTGTGCTGTTAAAAATACAAATTAATGAGGATGATCCGAAAGTCAAACATCTTTTATTCTTGTTTCTCTTGATAAAATCTTCAAAATTGGGCCCAGACTGGGTTTTTAAATTTTTTTTATCAAAGCCCCCTGAGATATCCTGCTTTCCAGATCTTCATCATCCAGTTATTGAAATGTCAGTATGTATCCAGCATATTTCCATGACTTAATTGTTGAAGCATCAGTGTGTATCCAGTGTATTTCCATGACTTCATTTTCCCCCCTTCCCCCTTGTATTTAGAAAAGAAACAAAACCGAGGTGGGGTGGGTGAGTTAAAGAGGTCAAAGGCTGTATTTTTATGGAGAAATTCCTAGACCTCTGGAAGTCTTTCTCCCCCACCAGCAGCTGGATTATTTTCACCCCTTCCAGGGTGTCCAGGGGGAGCAGAGAGTGCTTCAGCCCACAAATACCTTGTGTTGGGTTTGCATAAGCACAACAACAGGTCACATTTTATTTTACAGACTTTGAAACAAGTTGAACAAGGTCCTAGCTGTAGATATTCCTTTTGGAATAAAGGAGGTAGAGAAATGATCTCTTACCCTCTAAAATGTGTGTATTTGGAGAGTAGGGTGAACGATGCATGAGTGTTGGGAGGGGGATGGGAATGGTCCTGGCTTTGTGGAGATTGTGGGTCCAGGTTTCTGGGGAAGAATGGGCTGACGTGTCATGCAGAACTTCAGTCATACAGGGCTTAATACAGCTGAAAGTTGACCTCTTGTTGGCCTTTAGCGTGCCGAGCCAGGGACAGAATTCCCCCTTTGGAGTACTTGTGTGACAGGAATCAATAAACAACAAATACCAACGCAGATTTCCCAACAATGGCTCTGGTGCCGTGCTGGCACCAGGCTCGTTGTGCCAGGGCTGGCGGGAAGAGCTCCCTCAGGGATCCTGCAGGAACACAGCCAGCTTGCTGGAGACTTTACATTTGCTTGTGTGCTACACTTGAAAAGGTTGTTTTTCTTTTCCTTAGAAACAAAAAAAGCCCAGGAAGGATTGTTTATCTTTTGAGGGAGGTGCTTTTCTGTGTGGTGCAGAGCTGCCAGCTTGCTGTGGAGCCATGTGCTGCTCTCCTTAGTAAGCTTCATTCAGGGCAGAGGCTCTGGAAGCTGTGATCTGAAAGGAGCTGTACTAGGAGATCTGGCTTTCTGTAGCCTGACTTTTCCCTTTCCTCCCCTTGCCCTTTTTCTTGGCTCTTTTCTTTTCCCTGAGTGCAACCAGGTGCCTGATTTTCCCGTCGCTTTAAGGGGAAGACTCTTACTGTGGTCACAGCTTGCTGGAGGCCCGTGCCACGTTCTGTGCAACTTCTGTTGGGATATTGCAAGGCAGTCAGTAAAAAGCCATCTGGCTGTGTGGGTCGGCAGTATTCCAGAGCTGGCATCCATCGGTGTGGATTAGGGAGCTGCCCACCACAAAGCCAGCATGTTTTGATGTGGGACGCTCTTGGCTCCCATTCATTGTGGCTGCAGGGGAGTCCAGGGAGCTTTCCAGCCATTGTTCTCCCAGCCTTGCTGGTGCAGCCCTTTATTCCATTGGCATTTACACAGTGCTAACATCAGCTGCTCCTGTCCCCACATTGTGCTTTCCAGGTCAGCTGAGGGGAGCGTGGAGTTGTCTGCAGAGGAATCTGGCAAGGAGTGTAACAGGATCAACCTGAGTTGCCCTAACACTTGGTGCTGACACAAGAAGCAGGCATGTTTTGCCCTTGTGGCATTGTAGGCTCTGGCTTATTCTAGAGTCCCTTGGCTATTGCTTTGACCTGCAGTTTCTGAGTTTTGAGGGAACTTGTTTTGCTGTGCTTTCATTTCTCATTTTCATTCCTCATAGCAGCAACAGCAGATGTGATTCTGTTGTCAGCAGTATCAGTTTATAGCTCCATACCAAGTTGTGTCCAGCTTTGGAGTGGTTTATGTGTCACCTTTGGTTTGGGAACTCTTTATCTAGGACAGATGGGAAGTTGTTATTGAAAAGCTTTCAAAACTATGCACGTAAATGAGTGGTTGCAGTGCGCCTACTGGAATTCTACTTACCAGAAAGCCTTACCCTTTCCCCTCTCCTAAATCATGTTTTGTCACCAGCAATTCTAGAATTCTGCTGTCTGTCCTCCAGTGACAAAAGATGTATTGTAGTCTCTCCTCACTGAAAAAGGATGTTTTGGGTTTTTTATTTTACGAGGAATGATGACTGACTGCAAAGTCTTGAAGATTTGGGGTCTTGCTGTGGGGTCTGGAAAAGCTTTCAGGTTAGTCACTGTAACAGTTCTCTAGAAAAATCAAGTCACACACTGTCTAAAATACAGGAAAAATCCCTAACTAGCATTCCTAACTAGGAATAAAAGTACATATTCTTAGCTGACTTGCATGGCGTAAGTTAGATGTGTTTAAACTGGACTTGTCTAAAAAGGAGACAGGTAACTTGAAGGTTGCTTGTGGAGTTTGTGCCTGTTGCATTGCAGATCTTTTGGGATGTTTTCTGAGTCTCCTTAGATGACTTAACGTTGTTTGTTTCTGTGTTATCAAATGGATTATCTCACACTCATTTGTATAAATCCCTCACAAAAGTAATTATGTTAAACAACTAGAAATATTTCAGTAGAGTAAGCAGTTTTGGCTTGATAACTTACTCCATCTGTTGGACACTGTTGGTGATTCCTGTAATTGCAGGAATTGGCCTGAAATATTTTGTAGTAATTGCAAATTTAACACTAGGAATGACAAACATATTAATATTGTCTAGACCTGAACAATAATGTAAGAAATAAGCAAGTAAAGGGATATGTTGACCTTGTAATTGCATATTTCTATCAGTCGATCTCCAGCCATAAGCAGGAGACTTTCATCAGTCTCACTCCAGAGAATTTGGGCTTTCCCAATGACTTGTGGTTGGAAAGAAGTGTACCTCAACATGAAAGGTGATGAATAAGTAGGATAACAAAACAGGAATGAGGGAATGGACTATGTAATTCAGAAATGATAGCAAGGGTGAGGAAAAAGAGATCCTTTATATTCACAGTTTGAAGTTCTCCCTTAAAGATCATTAATGTGAAATAAAACACACTAGTTTCTGAAGTTGAGAGACATTCCAAAGAAGATCTTGGACCCCACACCTAGATTAACATGAGCTCAGTATAGGAGGAAAACTTGTAGGTTACAGTTAGTTTATTATCTTGCCACCCATGTGATACTGCCTGGGATTAAATAGAACATGGAGAAACAGTTCTGCTACTGTGGTGAAGCTTGTTTTTCTAACCTTGCTGGTAGAAAGTCCCTGAAAGTTCCTTTCCTGATGCTCTTGTTCTGTTTTCTGCTGGCTTAGCTGAGCATGAGTAATGCCAGGGATGAGGTCGATGGCTTCTTGTGGAAGCGAGTATCCCTGGAGGGCGGGGACTGTAAGCTTTAGCTCCCCTCTCTCACAAAATTTGCTGAGAAAGTGGCTTTTCCCATTTGTGACACGCTTACAACTTGCTTTTCTTTTTGTTCAGGGTCATCCAGTAGCCGTCACCCGAACCAAGTGACTCCGAAGAAGAGCGGCCTGAAGAACGGGCAGATGAAGAGCAAGGACGACGAGTGCTTTGGGGACGACATCGACGAAATCCCAGACACTGATTTTGATTTCGAAGGGAACCTGGCCCTTTTTGACAAGGCAGCTGTGTTTGAAGAGATTGAAACTTATGAGAGGAGGAGTGGCACCCGTTCCCGGGGGACCCCCAGCGAGAAACCGGCTCGCTATCGGCACGACGAGAACATCTTGGAATCGGAGCCCATAGTCTACAGAAGGATTGTGGTACCTCAGAACGCTAACAAAGAATTCTGCACGGGTATGCCACGTCCCTTACTGATAAGGACCCAAACTCCTGCTTTTTTGGGACACATAGGGTGGATTTTTTTCTCCAAGGGGTGTCTGTCAGCTTAATGCGGTACAAGCAAGGGCATTTGTTCACCTAAGGTTGGATTTGTGTGTCTACATACAGCCTTTATTTACAATATTACTGAGGTAACAAATATTCAGGTAGGGCAGCAAGGTAAGTGTTTTCACGGTAGGGAACAAAACTGATGGTTGGATAACAGGAGTGGGGACTGTATGAGAGGTGTTCAAATCCTTGCTTTGACTTCAGTAGCCTGGTGAACCACCATGGACTCGTCTGCTGGCTCTGGAGAGGGACAGAGGGATGGTCTCAGACTTTGTGCTTTCATGTTTAAAGGCAGGAGATTTCATGTGCTTCTGATACTCTTTGGGTCGTAGTTCTGACTTTCTGCAAAACTGTAAATACAGTTCCAGAAACACTTCTGGCTCTTCCCATCCACAATTCCAAACATTCTTTGTACAAAAGGCTTTTTATGTCAGGTCTCCCCCCCCCACTTACTGTCCACTGCTGCTGTATGAAAGATTGAACCCTGGAAGGCTGGTCTTTGTTGTAAAAGGAAAGACCTTCTAGGCAGGTACTTGAGTTGAAATATTCCAGTGTATCATCGGGGGAAATTAGTTTGACTCACTGGTGCCAGCTGCCGTGCAGATGTTTTCCTGCAACTCCGATTTCTGGTCCTTGCTGCCACCAAGTCAGCTCTTGGATGGAGGAGAAGGAAGTGGGGTGAGTCAGTGAGCAGTACTCCTCAGTCAAAATGTAGGGAATGATTAATCAGCTCCTAATCCTTGGCTCTGGGGAAAGTAAGAGTTCTTATTTCGTATTCAGTAGAATTTTTTTGGCCAAACACCGGATAATGGTAATTTCACAAGGAGCCACTTATGGATGTGAATAGATTTTACTATGACAAATCTTTTTATTTCTATCCACACACAAGCTATCAAGTATAGCAGATGTGCTTTGTGCCACATTTAGCTCCTCGTAACTTAAGCCTAATTGGGATGTCTTGCCTTTGGTTTTTAGCTTGCAAAACGGAGGAGTAAAGGAAAGTTGGCATTCCAGGAACATTTCTTTTCCACATCAAAATGAAATCAAATTTCAGATCTTTTTGCAGATTCACAAACCAGCTGATATCCTGGTGGTCTGAGCAGAAGTGTGAGGAGGCCCTTGGTCTGTCATTCTTTCCCTGCCCAGAAACTCCATCTGGGGTGTGAAACGCTTCAGGGAAGGAAGCTGATGGATTTGTGATGATTTGCTGCTTTTCAATTTTAGAAAGTATTCTTTTTTAATGGTTCTGGTGTATAACAGTATCCTAGTTTTCCATTTGTGTCATCCCTCTTCCTATTGCTCCATTCTGGTCTCGACTGAGAGGAAAACACAGTGGGTCCTAGCAGAACTGTCCAGCTCAGTGTTGTGTTTCCAAGGATCCTTAAGGAAAAGGGAAAGAAACATGCAGTGAGACTTTTCCCTGGTGCTTTGTCTTCCACAATTCTAATGCTTCCTGAGGCAGCAGAGAGAGTTCAGTATTAAGGGCTTTTTTTCTGCTTAATTTAACCTCTTACTTTTTAAATCTCTGCAAGCTTTCAGCACCTCTCTGTTGCAAGAAGCTGCACCAATGGCCTGTGTGCTGTGTGAATAAGTACCTCTTCATTTTGTATGTGATTTCCCATTTGTTTGGTGGGTTTTTTGCCTTTTTTTTTTTTTTAACATTTCCTACTTGTCAATCCATCTTCCAGCTGGCTTGTTTGAGAGGAGACAGGGCCTCTGTAGGTGTCTGGTCTGAAACAAAAGCTAAGCCACTGTTGGCAGCCAATCTGAGCAGAATGGCTGATACGGGATTCTAGCAGTAGAATTCCTGAGAGGAAAACCACCATACAATAGGCAGCAGTAAGTAAATTGAGGGATAAAAACTAAATCCTCTTTGCTGAACTCCATCATCCTTTCCTCTGGAACTCCTGGCTGCCCATCTGCAGCGTGCTGAGGGGAGCAGCCCCGTGAAAGGAGAAGTGTCTTGTTTTGCTCTTGGCAGGGCTGCCCAGGGAGGGTGGTCAGCGACTCCACTTGGTCACTGCAGGGTCTCACTGACCTCATTAGCTACTGTTGGCTGATTAGTCTCCCCTCTAGAATTCTGGATTTGTTTGGAAGAAAAGCTGGCCTGTCACACGACAGGCAGTGGCCTGTCGCCTGCGCTGAGCTGAGCACGTTCACAGTCCCATGAACGGTGACAGAAGTGTCCAGTGCTGTGTCTCGGGATATTTTTCCCACAGAGGATGACTTCCTTTGTGTCCACTGAGGAAGTTTACTTTTGCTTAGGGAATACTAATGGCCATCTAGCAAAAGCTCTTGTAAACAGTGGTAACGTGCCTGCTGTTTCTGGCAGTCAGTCGAGTGCTTTTTGTAGCAAGGCAACCCTCAGAGGGACAGTCTGCCTGGAGTACTGATGGACTGTCTCCTGGAGAAAAAATAATCCCAATTTCTTTGTTTAGCAGCTGGGAGGATGATGCTGAGCTGTAGGTAGCCTGCCTCTTAGTGGCTCAAAGAGCAGCTGCTGAAATTAGATGAGTGCCAAGAGCTCCAAAAGCGTTTATTTTGGACATGTCTATGGCAGGAATTCTCCCTACAGAACTTTTTCTGGTTTCCTAAGGGAAGCTCTGCTTGCAAAAAACCACTTCCTAGTTATAGAAGAAAGAAGTGCTTTGTCATTTTTTTTACCCTAGGCCAATCTGAAAAATGATTGTGTTAATAGAGCCCTGACTTAGACAGTGATTCTCTGTCTGCTGTAACAGCACAAACACTGATGCTGTAGATTGACAGGGAGTTAATATCCAGCTCTTATCACTGTGGGACAGGAAGAAGTCTGTGAATCCCTGTGTGCTTTCTTTATGCCGTGGAGCTAGGAAGTAACCAGGATGGTGCAGAGGGAAAAACAAACTGCTGAGGTCAGTTTTCCAAAAGACTCATCTGCAGGGCTTCCAGCCTGGGGTTTTATTACTGACTCAAATAAGTTGGTATGTATAGGATAAATGCTTCAGTCCACCAGGATGCTTTTCTGAGAGCTCATTTTTTGGAGCCAGGCTGTCAAGTAGGCACAACCATGTGTTTTAGAAGTAAGCAGGGAATATTTTCCAGCCAAAAGTGAAAACCTGAAGCTAATGTGGCTTACCAGGTCTTGGATCATGACTGAGCTGAGTCCCTCCCTGGGGCTCCACATGTGAATCCCTCCTAAATACACCAGTAGTCTTGACTCTTTTGGATGCTATTGATCCATCTGTTTACTGGGAAGTGTTTAACAAAAACTACCTCTCTGGAAAGGCCAATACTTGCAGGAGGTGTGAGCTGTCTTTTTCTACTTCCAGAGCTGTCCAGATGGAGAATTTAAATGCATGTTTGGCTTAGGTCTGTCTCTGTTCCTTCTGTTGGCACTAAAACAACCTGTGTTTGAACACCACTGTGTTTTGGGATCAGGTCTGTTAGCAAAGCCAATATACTGCAGGAATGTTGTAGCTCAAAGGAGTTTGCAAAAGGGTGGAGTGTCCCAGTTCATCATCAGTGACTGTATACAGGGCAATCTCCAGCATGCCAGGCTGTCCTCATGGTTCTCACATATGTAAGGTGTTTATTATTTCCCTGCTGTACTGGTCAGGCTTTGTCCAAAGCAGGTTCTCCTCTAGTTAACACTGTTAGTGTAGAAAATACCCCGTTTCCATCTCATGTCTCTTTTCTGGAAAATAAATGTGATTTTTTTAGACTCAGGTGCTGTCAAAGTTGTCAAGTAAAAGCAGGCCTGTGCTCAAAAAAAGGGGACTAAGTGTCATTATTTTTTTGTCCTCTCCTAACCAGACCTCAAGCCTGTCCTTCAGACAGCCTTTTTTCTTCACAATAAGGAGATGGCGAAAGAAAATACGAGCCAGGATCAGACCTCAAAACTAAGGCTGGGCACGTCCTGTGAGGGTGATGCCAACAGTATGGCTTTTTCTTTGGTGTGCCATGTCCTTGACTGACTTTTCTACTCTCTGTAGCTTTTAGCTCTTCAGTATCTGGATGACTGCTTTGTGTATATTGAATGTGTGAAGTGTTCCTGGGATCTTTTGAGGAAAGTGCAAATGAAGTTTGCTTTATCCAACCGCCAGAAAAAAAACAAAGTGCTCATGGGGCAAAGTCCCTTTGTCCCTCTGATAGTTTTTTTGCTCAGCTGGAGTGAATTGTGCACTAATGCTGGGAGAGGCTGACGCTGGAAGGTCAGCCAGAACTCCCGCAGAATTTGTCATAATTAAAAATAATGATGATTAATGAAAAGAAATCTAAACCTTAAAGTTGTGGAGAAAATCATTCGTGTTTGTGGGGCAACAACTGTGTTTTGCTGAGTCTGCAGGCAAGTGATTCCAGCTTTACAACCAGCAAAGGACAGCACGAATGTCCCATCTGTCTGACGTGGACAAGAGTTACAGACCATGAGGTGTAAAACTGTCAGACCATATGGCTCTGCAACCTGGAATTTATTATTGGAATTAGTGGTGTTAGTACAGCTTTCAGGAGATCCTAAGTCTAGTTATATCTGATGTATTCCTGTATCTTGGCTGGATTTATTTCAGCAATGAACAAGAAATAGAAAATTTATTTTAGCAGAGAACTGGGGAAATAGTCAAGAGAAAAAAGTAGGGCTTAACACCTTAACGCTGAGCTCCTCTGCCATCAGCCCTCTCCTTTTTCCCTGCCCCTGCAAGCTTGGGAAGCATTTGGGCATCAGAGAATGATATTCAGGGCTTGTCTGGGAGAAAAACTCCAAATTCTTTAACATTTTGAGAGTTAGCTTGGTCCTTCTGCTGCTCTAGGGTGTTTTGTCCATCCAGTGTGACTCTGCATGTCACAAAACTGTTTAGTTTATATCTGCCTTGTAGGTTTCTTTCCCAGGCAGCTGTAAAATACATTTATTTAATATTAAAAGGCCTGAGCTAATTTATTTTATTGCCTTCATTAGCAAACAATAAAGATGCCCTGTCCAACCCAAACATAATTAAAGTTGGCACGGGTTCAGTTTTGTGGCAGTAGTGTTATTGTTTGTGGGTTTACACGGTCGCCTCCTTGATTGCTCTCTGCCAGAGTTTATTTAACTCCCTGAGTCTGCTTTTGATAAGCCAGTCTGACTGGTTGGACCTTGCGTGAGGGCAAAGAAGGGAAGTTCTCTTGGCATGACAGCCTGCTCCTGAGAGGGAGCAATTAGGACAAACTGGCATGCTAAATGCTGCCTCCCAGTAACCCCCTTTGATTAACCCACTGGGCACTGGGTGGCATCTAGCTAATGGTAAATGCAGTTTTACTAAAGCTGGTCGCTGAGGGAAGGACGTGGATGGGTACAGAGAAGCTCCATACTAAATTGGGTCGATACAGAACGTGGATCATCTGTTTTGTTGTCCTAATTTGGGGAGTTTGTGCAAAATTTAAGCAGGGAATTTGTGGGTGGCTCAGAAGGAGTAAAAATAGAGTTTGGGAGCTCGCTGTCTGGGGTTAGCAGATGATGTGTCCCCCTAAACTGTTTGGGGAGATCCTGACCTTGGGTCACTCATTCCAAATCTTCCCTCAAAGTCTTGCCTTGAAAAATAAGACGAAGTAGGAAAACCATGAATGGGAGCGGGGCAGAGCCGGGGCTGCGTGACTGCGGAGCGGGCGGGTGAGCACAGGGCAGGTGCGTGACTGGAGTAACGGGCTCAGGGTTATTCATGGTTATGAGTGTTCGGTGGCTGCTATCAGGAGTCTGGGATGGCTTTGATAATGTGCCTGCTTGCTTGGAACGAGAGCCTGGGAGCAGAGGTGACTTCATCGGCAATTAGCGTGCAAGGTCAACGGCTGCGACACGGTTGGGCCCTCACTATCTGCAAGGACTTCACCAGAGAGTCCAGGAATGAAGTCCAGGAGGACTCAGCAGTGTCTGTTCCACAGCATTTTGCTGTAACCTTGCAGAAGCACCTCCGATTTGACTCTGAAAACCTCCAGATGTGCAAAAGCTCCCATTTCCGCCGTAGCTTGGCTTAGTGGTTGGTGACTGGGGCATCTGGGGAAATGTGGCAGTACACATAATTTCTCACAATTAAAAATACATGCCGCATTTCTCATTTGAATGTGGCACTCGCTTGTTGCAACTGGTTCTTGCTATGTTTTCTGTCTGCAGAGGAGCCCAAACCCACGAGTAACGGTTGGCTTTCCTCCCGGAGCGGATGTGTGGGCTGTGGCTGTTCCCCTCTGAGCTTGCAGTGCTGCAGAGTGTTTTCACTGCACCATGTCACATTGCCACGATTCTTTCCCATTAGCACAGGCAGTCCAAACCCAGTTGGGCTGCCATGAGCACCCGGGAGGCCTCTGTCACCTCCAGTTCAGAGGTGGGAGTGGCTGGTGGGAGCGTGATGGTGACCCAGGGCTGCTGGGTGGTGAAAACTGGTAAATGGAGAAGAGAGAAGCTGATGGAGGGGTTGAGTTCCTGCTTTGACCTGATGTTTGGCGTTGTGCCTGAGCTGTAGCAGGTGTTGGTTTGAGTCCTGGACCTTTTTGACCCATGGTGCCTAACTCCTGTGCACCTCATCTGCCTGTCTCAGAGTCGAAGCTGACAGCTGGACTCAGCTGGGATTCCTTGCTTAGCTTGGAATGATATGAAGAGAAGAGGCTGAGAGCTTTTTCTGCTGCAGCTGTGCTCCAGCTATGTGGCCATCCCACATGGGAAGGGAATTAATCTGTTCTGCTCCTTAGCTGGGAGATAGTTAAAGACATCCAGAACTTGCAGGATACTTGAAAGGAAGAATTGGGTGTGCTTCTGATTCCACATAGTGGGAGTCCTCAAATGCAGAGCAAAGGGGTTGGAGATCAGAATTATTTTGGAGAAAAGTTAGAATAAAGAGGCTGATTGCTGTGGCTGAAGATATTCAAGGGTATGCTGTTTAAATCAGGTATTAGGAAGAAATTCTTCCCTGTGAGGCCCTGGAACAGGTTGCCCAGAGAAGCTGTGGCTGTGCCATCCCTGGAAATTTTCAAGGCCAGGTCGGACAGGGCTTGGAGCAACCTGGTCTAGTGGGGGGTGTCCCTGCTTGTGGCAGGGGTGGAATAAGATGAGCTTTAAGGTCCCTTCCCACCCAAACCATTCCATGACTCTGTGATATCTGGCTGGGTGATGCAGCTGTTCCTCACCTGTTCCTTAGGTTTTGCATTCTCTCTCCAAATACCATCAGTAATTCTTTCCAGTTTTCTTGTTTTCTGCTATTCAATAACCACCAAAAAATTCCCGTGGCTCCCCTTGGCACAAGCTGCCTTTTGATGGCAAGTAATCCTCTGTGTTTATTTCCAGGAGAGTTTGCAGATGCTGTGGTGGGGTTCATTTATGTGTAATCAGTGCCAGCTTGGCCTGCTTGGAGCAGGGAAATATAAAGAATCATCCCAAACAGTTACTCAGGTGTGTGTTACTCAGGGAGTGGGAAGGATGTATCCCTGACTACTTCAGGCGCTGTTCTCAGCACTTACCAAAACCTCTCTTCTTTGTTTTCCCTTGATCCACATGCTGGAGCATTTCCTGGCTTGCTAGGCCAGGCTGTCAGAAATGCCTGGGAATTATTTCTGCAGGGTTTGTTCTTTGATCATTTCCCTGCTGCTGTAGTGTGTCGTGATCCAGCTGTTGTGTCTGGAGCAGCCCTTCTGGCACGGAACAGCTCAGGGAACGCCTGCCTGGTAAATGTGGGATGACTTGTTTTGCTGTGATATGTGGGATTTTGGGGACCAATGTCGGGAAGCAAAGCACATCCAAGCTTTTTCTGATGGGAAATCTGCTTCACAGCTTCTCTTCTGACTTTCACAGTGCTCAGGAACACTTTATGTGTGGGTTAAAGCACTGGTGGCCTGGAAACCATTAAGAAAAAACTTAATATTCCATCTGTAAGTCACAAAGGCCTTCTCAGTGAATGTGTTGCTAAAATTGCCTGCTCAATTTTGTGGAAGCATGTTATTTTAAGCTCAGAAGTTGTGTTTAGCTGTCTCTGCTTCACTCAGAGTAGGCTGATGCACTAATTTGGATTGGTTTGATGGTCTCGGGAAGAATCTGGAATACTGGGGGAAGCAGACCCTTGGTAACAGCTAATAAGCTTTTTCACTGCCATTGCTTCTGTCTCTGATTGTCCCCATTTCTGTCTCCCTCCCCTCTTTTTGAACCCTAGACTCCGGGCTGGTGGTTCCAAGTGTGTCCTATGAGCTCCACAAAAAGCTGCTCTCGGTGGCAGAGAAGCACGGGCTGACTCTGGAGCGGAGGCTGGAGATGACGGGAGTGTGTGCCAGCCAGATGGCCCTAAGTCTCCTCGGGGGACCCAACAGGTAAATGTTGTTCCACTAAAGGTGAGCTACAAGGCTGAGAGGTTTCCTCTAAGGTTTCCTCCACTGGCATTTGGGTGCCTGCTGCCAAAGGGCTTCTTTTTCGCTCCTGCATCCCAGGAGTGTCTCTTGACTCAAAGCAGAGGGAGATGAGATTTTTCTCTCCCCTTACTGGGAATTTTTTCAGGGAACTGAGCTTTGCACAGGTGTTACCTGAGGCAGATTAAGCCGCTGCAGAATATCTAATGAGCTCCTCCTGTTTGCATGTAAATAAACCTTCCCTTTGTTGCTTTTACATGCTACGATTTAATGATATCAATAAAACCAGAAGACAGCTCATGAAAACCAAGTGCTGCTTAGCTTTTTGCAGGGCTAAATTAGCTTTTCAGGGATTTGCACCTCACCTGAGAGCATCCTGCTCTTTTGGAGGGCCGTTTGCAGCGGGTTTGGAGTGCACTTACTGCTTTTTGCATGAACAAACGTGCTGACTCTTTTGAAGAGCCTTCTCTGTGCCTGCACTTCCGTGGTTGTTGATGTGGGTAGAAATTGCACCTGCGTTATGTTGTTGATAGCTGCTCCAAATTACTTGCTCTTGACATGAAAGTTAACCCTGAAACCCCCATCTGTTTATTCAGTAGTACTTTCTGAGGACCTGATCATTTGATGCAGAGCAGTGATTACATACAGGCAACACTGACCCTGTCAGCTGAAATTCCTGCTGTAAGCCCTGATGGCTTCCAGGCCAAATTAACTTTATTCTGCAGTTGATAATGCTTAGGGAGTAGAAATCATTTCTGTTTTTTAATTGTGACTCTTCTGATGGGGAAACTCACCCCGTATGTTTAAGGCTGGATAGTCAGCTTTCTTCTGCAGTCAGAGACCTTGGGACCTTGTGCTCTCAGCTGGAGGTGCAAGGAAGTCACGAAGAGAATGAGAAGACAAGGCTGTAGGAGCCTACCAGTATCTGAAGGGACCTACAAGGAAGCCAGGGAGGGACTCTTCATCAGGAACTGAAAGAGTGGAAATTTAGGTTAGGTATACAGAAGAAATTCTTCTCTGTGAGGGTGATGAGGCCCTGGCACAGATTCCATCCCTGGAAGTGTTCAAGGCCAGGTTGGACGGGGTTTGGAGCAATATGGTCTAGTGGAAGGTGTCCCTGCCTGTGTCAGGGAGGTGGAACAAGATGATCTTAAGGGTCCCTACAACCCAAACCAGTCTGTGGTTCTATGAAGCTGCAAGCAGAGCAGCTCTCTACTCTCAGCGCCACACGGGGATGTGGGTTCCTTCTTCACAGCGTCGGAAGATTTGCAAAACACCTGGCAATTTGCATTTTACTGATTGGGGTTTGGTTTGTTTTTTTTTTTAATTCCTCATGCAGGAAGAAGGCAGGAGGCTTTTGGGTTTATCAACAGTCCCTTTTGTCTGTGTTTCAGGCTGAACCCCAAGAACGTGCACCAGCGGCCCACGGTAGCGCTGCTGTGCGGCCCCCACGTGAAGGGGGCTCAGGGGATCAGCTGCGGGCGGCACCTCTCCAACCACGACGTCCACGTCATCCTGTTCCTCCCCAACTTTGTCAAGATGCTGGAATCCATCACCAACGAGCTGAACCTTTTCAGCAAGACGCAAGGCCAGCAGGTGTCCAGCGTCAAAGGTAAGCGGCCGAGGAGCAGATGGGTTCTCTGGCGCGTGGCTCCCTGGTGCCTGCCCGCTCCCCTGGCACCATCTAGTGGCACTGCCGTGGCTGGGTGGCTGCTCAGAGGCTGGAGGGACAGCAGGCACTCCCAACAGTGGAGCAGTTGTGCTGCTACAGATGTTTCTGGTCGGAACAAACATGCAAGAGCTGCTGTATTGATCTGAGTGAGAGCAGCCATTCTTGTAGGATAAGGGCCTACCTTGTTCAGCGTGTTGAAACTGTGAATGAATGAGCATGCAGCTGCTGCTGCTAAACAGGAGGCAGCTTTGCTGAGTTAGTCCCAGCAGCTGTCAGAGTTCCTGTTTCAGTATTCCACAGAATAAACTGAGCCCCTGTGAGTGCCAGCTTCTGGATGTCATTTCACCAGTTGCTTTTTCCAACCTGGTTCATTTAGACTCGGGAGAAACAAACCTGGGAATTAGGGCCAATCCTGGGCTGACAGAGCTACTTGCCTGTTACAAAACATTATAAAAGGTTTGAATGGATTTCCCAGAGAAGCTGTGGCTTCCCCATCCCAGGTTGGACGGGGCTTGGAGCAACCCGGTCTAGTGGAAGGTGTGGCTGGGGGGTGAAATGAGATGAACTTAAAGGTCCCTTCCAGCCCAAACAGTTGCATGGTTTTGCACCAAGGACTTTGTGGTCTGTCAGGTAAGGGGAATGCAGCAGATGGTGGGAATGCAGCAGATGTGATACAGAGCAGGTGAGTGCAGAGAGCTACAGAGCTTGGTGGGGCAGGCAGCAGTGTGGCACACCAGCTTCCTTTCCATAGCAGAGGTAGTTGGTATGTTCCAGAAAAACAGCCTTATTTTTCAGCTTGTGAAATAGAAAATGGTCCTTTTGTCATGGAAAGAGAGCACTACTGCTTCCCTGGGCTGCCTAGACTGGCGAGCTCAGCAGTATTGGGACTGCTCACATGCTGACCACTCGATGTGATTTTTGTACCTGAGAGGCTGTGGGTGTTCCCAAAGTGTTAAAGAGCTGCTCAATATTGATGTTGGTATTTTTTGAGAAGGATGGCAATAACAGCTGGTAAGGCCAGACTGTGCAGCAAGACTGGATGCTGGGGGCAAACCCAA